ACAAGTTTTTACCAAGTATCGCACCAAGGATAATTCTGCATAAAAGGAAACTATGCTTGAAAAGAATAACAACTGTGGGTCTAAGACGTTCAGTAACGGAAGCCTTTTTATATTGACTATTACACATCTAAAATTTTTAAATAGGCATTATTTACTTAAAAAATGACTGAACGTTTTTTTAATAAGCAACACCAAACACATCCGTAGTATTAGTGAATGCGTGCCAGTTTATTCGCAAACGGAAGTTTCTGCTGGTCATTGAGGAAATCATGCCTACCCTAAATCCTCATTAATTCGTATATAGCAGAAACTTCTGAACCTCCCCGAATATTTCGATGATATCACCCTATCGGTACAAAAGGACACAAAAATATTCGGCGATCTGTGTTGGGGAATGAAGGAACCAAGCAAGTTGTGAGGAATTTAATTCTTTCAACCCCTATGGCAATATAGATTTGAAGCTTGAAAGAGATTGTGAAGCACAGAGATAAGCGAAAGAGATACTTAGGTAGTAACTCTAGCAGCAGTTTAGGGATGTTATATTTGTGGTTTGGCTATTAAATGGGCTGACATGTTTAGCTCATTTACTCATTTATGGCTCATTTAATATTTTCTAAATGGACGCGTTTTTGCTCGTCTATTTAATAAACGGACCGCTCATTTTCCCATTTAACTATATTAATAATATATATAATATTTTTGGTGTGTTTTTTATAAATTTTTAGGGGGCTTTCTACAAACTATCGGGGGCTTTTCATAAACTTTTGCGACTTTTTGCAAACTTTTTGGGGGCGCTTCGCAAACTTTTTGGGGGTTCTTCGCAAACTTTTTTGGGGCTCTTTGCAAACTTTTTGGGGGGTTTTTACGACCTTTTAAGGGTTTTTGTCCAAACTTTCTAGGAGTTTTTTTTTTTGCCCAAATAGAATCCTTTGAGAATTCGAAACTAGAAATAGAATTCCTATTTAACAAATGAGTCAAAAGAATTCTATTGGTAAATATACATATGATGTAATACATAAGATATTAGGCTCTGTGTAATACATAATTATCTACTTACAGGAATCCACAACAATTTCATATCTTACTGAATTATTGCGTCCAACCCATGTTAATTATCTATAGTCAAATGTAACATGGTTTCTATTATTATCTATACAAAAACTACTGTTAAAAGCTTAACGATAATTTATTCAGAAAACGTTTTTATTAGAAAAAAAACATTCTCTCATTCCCAAGGCTAGGATCAAATAGAGGCAATCATGCTTCAGAAGAATCCAGCTTAAAGCTTGAATATTGCAGCGTTGGTTGAAGGCTTGGTGGCAAAGACATAAAGACCGAGATCATTCTTGTTGATGATACCCTTCTCAATCCTAGATTGGTAGAATGACTCTTGCAATAGTTAAAAGGATTTGAGTTGCACAAGTTTGAAAGTGTTATGTTTTATATGAGAGAACTCATGATTTTAATGAATAATGAGCTAGGTGTTTTCGTCGAAAATTGTTGTATTCATTGCGGTATTCATTACAACTTCAGTCGTTACAATGAGAACGAAAAAAGATAGTCTTTTTATAAGACTCTTACACAATGAAAACAAAGATTACAATTATTGTCAAACAAACGCAGAGATCGTTTATCGGTCTTCTGCTTGCGTGGGATCTTTGTCTGTGCCGAGGTTTATCCGTGGACGACCGTCGATTAGATCCGGTTGTTGAAAATTCGGCAGAGCTTCGCCTTCGCCGAGGAAGTATTTGATTTGAAGCGCTGAGATAGACCAAGCGAAATCAGTAGCTCTTCTTGAGATCAAGACCAAGCCTGATCTCAAGGAAATGGGGGAAACGGGCGTCGGATCTCTCGAACTCTCCTTCTTTATGCCGAAGAATTCACCAAGATCTGTCAACCTTCGCTGAAATTCGTGCTCCTTTGACTCCTCAATCCGGCAGCACCTCCTCCTCTTGATAATTAATCTGCCCTTGAAATGAGGCCCCGAGCTCGTATTTATAGGCTTCGGTTGGGGGTTTTTAGATGAGAATGAATGAATCGTCCATATCTTCAGTTAATAACTGATTAACCATGTTAGGGGATGATATCAAGTCCGTTAGGAACCTCAAGAACGACCAAATCCCGAAAAAAACCGTCAAAAAACCAAACTGATGTCGAAACAGTGCACGCGAGACAAATCTGACCCGCGCTTGCGCGGGTCGGATCGAATCCGAGACCCGCTGTACTGTAGCGCTGGTCGGAAAAATCCAACCAGCGGTTAATGTAGCAAAATTCCGACCCGCGGTACTGTAGCAGAATTCCGACCCGCGGTACTGTAGCAAAATTCTAACCCGCGGTACTTTAGTAGAAATCCACCCCGCGATACTGTGGCAAAAATCCGACCCGCGGTACTGTAGCAGAATTCTGACCCGCGGCACTGTAGCAGAATTCCGACTAGCGGTACTGTAGCAGAATTCTGACTCGCGGTTACTATAACAGCCTTAACTCACTCATCCGACCTCGGAATGAGGCGATTCAAGATGCGTTGGAAAGCCGACGATGAGATCTACAGGATCCCATGATTGAATCATATGTGGAATAAATAAAACACGAGGGGTGCTTCGCCTTTTGTAAACGACGTGGGGCTCCCGATCAGCTCTCGTTTCCGTTATTCCGAAGTTCTGTTGCTTCGTATGACCCGTCGACTCACTTCATGTGTTTGTCGTTGTCAAATGAACTCCTGTGACTCTAAAAGCGACGTTTATCATCTTTTCTCTGTCTCGAGCCGTGTGCGGATACCCATAGGTATTTTTAGACGACTACACTAGGGGGTGGTCAGCTCAAATCAATGATACTACAGAGGGTCTACGTGCAATTAACCCTAGAGAATATTATACGATTCTAGGATCAAATTACAAGCATTCGCAAATAAGCGACCTTTAAATTGAGAATTAACTGAGGGACGATACTTTCTTTAACTAAAGCAACTGAACAGCCACCTCATCCAGCACCAATAACTCTCGCTCCAAGTGCTCCATTGTCTCGACAAACTTTCACAAGCTCTTCCAACTCCGGGCAACTAGAGAAAACACATGCAAAAGCAACATAACAGTTACAGTTAAACATAGCCAGGTATCTTAAGATTTTCCACCACTAAAATCGGGTTCTCTCAAGTATTTTATATAGGTTTTCTCAATTTATTCAATTAAATCTTTCATATTTTGAAATTACTCCCTCCAATCAAGAGAGTAGAAGTAGGAATTAGGGATGAATTTGAAACAACTTATAGGAATTGGCGGATCCAATAGCAATTTCAATGACTTAATTTCAAAACAAGTAGAAACTTTAAGGAACTGCTTGCAAAATATGAAAGATTTAAAGGACTAATATAACCAGAGAACTTACCTGCACTCATACAGAACACTACAGCTATAATGACTGTCATTCATCAGATCACCGAGTCTCTTAAGAATGTCTTCCTCATTGCAAATTTTGACACTTTAGAAACTACCGGCCTTTTTGTTAAAATAAGAAGTGCAAATGTAATACCACTTAACTAGCCTATGATCTCTCAGGCAAGTTTCAATACATAATTAAGTGATTATGTTTATGGTTTCATTTTGTTGATGGAACTTGCTTTTGTTGACACCATAGTTTAATGTTGAAATGAACTATAGTGAAAAGCAACTTACTCATTGATCACAAAGAGATATTTTTACTAATTTTTCTCTGATGAAGCACTTGATAACAATACTTCTGCTCTGATGAAATTAAATAAACAATCATATGTTCCTACTCAGATTTTAAATTATGCAACTTAGAATGATTTACAATGGACAACTCCATAGATATATAGTTGAAACATTGACAGGCACAAACATGCATCAGTAGTCCCAAATACTTTGAACTCTAAACATTAGTGTCACCATATATCTTGCATCAATAACAAAGTATTTGATATGAGGGCTTGCCAACCAAGAAGAAGATCAGTACATGAAGATGCAGCTGAATCAAGGGAAATGCTGCAAGAAGGAGAATGGAAATTACACATGCGATGGTCAGCGCATCCAAATAGTTTGCAAATCAACCAGAATTACATGAGTTAGAAGAGGGTGGATATTAGCAAACTTTGCAAGTAGATCCAAATAATCTGTATGTACAATGTTGTCACTAAATAGTGAGAGATCATAATACTAGTGGAAGAAATGGTAGTTTTCATGGCAAAGAGAATGACAATGGCACAGACTGACTGCAATAACTTCAACGTTATCTATTAGAAGCAACTCTTCAACGTTATCTATTAGAAGCTTGTAGAAAAGCCTCTCATTTCTCTCCTAAAAAACATTAACGGAAAGGCTTCGAAATTTTTTTTACGTCCAACCAAATATTGCAAAATAACATATATAAGCCCAAACCTGAAGGTCCATCAATGCCACATATCGTTGAAGGGGCACCTGATACTGGCGAAGACTATTAGAGAAAATATTAACTAGAGTCTAGCTAGTCGGAAGAATATTAATTAGGGACCACAGATTAAAAAAGCAGTTTGGTATAGGATGAGGATAAAGGCTTCCTTCTCATCAGATTTTCCTCCTAATTTTCAATTCCGTCGCAGATAAAACAGTTAAAAAGATGGTCATATGCGATTCTCTCTCGGGCCTGCTTCTAATTATGGAGTTCCAGTAAAAAGCGTCTCTTCTTCACACACTTATTGACACAAAAATATTGTTTAGTAAACAAACAAAAATAATTGCGGCATGGCTAAGCACCTTTTTTATCTTTTTGGATTTCTTCTAGAGAAGTGTGAAAGCCGCAAAATATATTGTAAATTTAAAGTAGATATAGAATGGAGAATTATTAAAAGAATATAAAGATAGAAACATACACAATAGCTACCGAAATCCATGAGGGAAATAACGAATCAGAGATGTTGAGCTCAACTAGAAAATAATAACAGTCAACAGTCGAGGGATCAAGATAAAGAAAAACCAGCCTGGTACTCATAATAACACTCACAGTCAAGGGCCCAAAAAAAAACTTCCAATTATTCATCTTCACATTGATGGGATACACAGTTGCAACAAATTTCTCCGAACTTCCTCTATTTACAATTCCAGATACAGGTTGCAGCTACAACAGCAAGAAGATCATCTCAAACCCTCAGATTTTGGCATCACAACCAGGAGTTCCACCAAGCAAAGGAACTTGACCGGCCACTCCCTTTTTAATCCCAAGCAACATATCACACCTCACATACATCGCATACCACTGACTCTTAAAAGGCCCAGGCTTATACTTCAACCTCCCAAGCAACACAAGCCTCATCGCCACAACCCCATAATTTTCATCAGTCATCAGCCCGGCCGCCACATCAGCAGACACCGGTACCACCTCGCCTCCGATCACTGGCGACACCGCCACAGAGCTGTCCTCCTCCTGAAACAGCGGCGGAAGCTGCACAGGCGGCGTGATGGCCTGGCCCTATAAGTCACGTAGGCTGAGAGGCGATGTAGCGGATTGATGCTCGGTCGTTAGTGTTTCGGATGGAGATGTTGATATGCGATGCTCGTCGAGACTGCAGTGGCTGGGGACCATTGCTGGCATTTGAAAGTTGGAATACTGAGGCGCTGAGGATAGAGAAGTGGGGTTTGGATGGACGATAGACTAGGTAGAGGATGAGGGCCACAACTCCGGAGAGAATTAGGATCGTGAAGAATGCGCAACAGATGAGGCGGCCGAGGGCGTTGGAGGGGCCATAGCGGTATAACATCGAGTCTTTCGACATGTTAGAGATGAGAATTTGAGGAGAGGAGAGAGGGGAGGGTTGGCTTTATAAGAGGAGGAAGCTTAGCGTGGTGGTATAAGGGGACTGTTGTGCTGCAGGAGGAAAGAAAGGAGGGGAGCTTAGTGGGTTATGATGTGTAAAATTATCAGGTTCCTTTCCCACTGAGCTCATCTTTAGGTTGTTCTAGCCTACGACTTTTCTTTTAGAGGAATTGAAAGCAGAAAAGAAAGGCATCAGGGAGCAAGAAAGTGAAGTTGATGAGTGCATGTATATTGGGTTTAGAATGGTAAAGCAGAAAAGGGTATTGGAGTGAAGGAGACAAACAATTTGAACATGGGAAGAACTTCCCCTTTACTATCGCATTATTGAGTTCATGTCTGCAAAATTTCACCAAGAACAAAATGATGATCATCATTTGTGCCGAGGTAACCCGATGATTCTGTAGATTCTTTTTAACTCTTTACTATAGATGACAGGCGTCAAGGGTCAAATCCTAAGATCCAATCTCAAATTGGAGTAACCTTTTCCAAGATTATCTTGCAGACAAGTGACGGTCTTATGTAGTGATTCTGAAGATTATCACTATGGATCTGACGAGCACGGACTTGACTTCAGTTAAGCAAGTTTTTCCTTACATACCTCGTAGGGAAGTAATGGAAATATATGCAAAAAAAAAAAAATATCTGTCTATGGACCTTAGTGTTGTGCGCAACGAAAATTTCGGCAGCACCTCGATAGCACCTCGGCGCAATAAGATAGTAAGATCACAATAGGAATTCCCGTTTCACCAAGGAAACAAGAACCAAAAACAAAATATCTCAACAAAGTGGGATACCAGCTCTTCCTCTCATCAGATCTAGTACTGACCTATCGAGAGAAGCTAGATAAGCTATTACAAATCACATAAACAGCGAGACAATCAATTTTACGTGGTTCGGCAAATTTCCTACGTCCACGGGGCAAGGAGAGGGGAGATCTACTATTAGAGAGAGAGAATACAAATAGGGTTTACAATCACACAAATTAAACCCTCACACAAACTCTCAAATCTCTCACAAATATCTCCCTCAAAAGGATGCTCAAACTCTAAAAACGGCTGCACAAAACTCCTCTTCAAAACAGCGAATCTCTACTGTTTTTTTTTCTGCACTCTGCCGTTTTCACCCTCTGCTCACAAACCCTCTTTTTGCACAAAACCCTAGGCTATTTTTCGACTTGCATTTATAAGCACGAACAAAAGATCTCGGGTGGGTCATCACCTATTGCACAAAACCGCTTCGTTCACGTGATCTCTTCACTCGGGTGGGAACGTGGTGGCCCCTCCCAAGTCCATGTTCACAATTCTCCACATCGGCGAAGTTTTCCCAAAACTGAGCCGACACCAAAGCAACTAAATGTCCCACTTGTTGAGTCCAATACGCCGTGAAGTTAATTCACGACAACGGACTCAATCCACAACAAGTCGGGAACCCGAATGAGAATGCGAACAAACTCCAAACGTCGATACATACTCCCAAATCGGCTATATCACAAATGACTACCTACGTATCCCCTTGCCCAGGAAATCAAGCCTTCACATAGTTCACCTAAATGGTCGTCAACGGCCTCAATAATCACGAATATACAAAGTTTCGACAATGATCAAACTTGTTGCTCGGAACCACCTTTGTGAGCATATCCATCGGATTATCCTTCGTGTGGACCTTCACAATCTCCACATCGCCATCTTCAAGAACATCACGAACGAAGTGATAACGAACATCAATGTGTTTTGTCCTCGCATGAAAAACCTGATTCTTTGCCAAATAGATATTGTTTGGGTCAAAAGTTGATGTTTTCATTGCCTTGAATCTATTACAACTTTAATCGTTACAATAAACTCAAATGAATAAAAAAATTGATCTTTTTATAAGATCTCTTTTACAATGAAAATAAAAGATTACAACTCTTGTCAAACTACACACAGATCCTATTTATTAGTCTCTGTTTTGCGTGGCATCTTTGCATGTGCCGGGGACGTTGATATCCGTGGACCGCCACGGATCAGATGCGGTTGACAGAAATTTGACATAGCTCCTACTTCACCAAGTAAGTATTTGCTTGAAGCTCTGAAATCGACCAAGTGAAATCAGTAGCTCTTCTCGAGATTAAGACCAAGCCTAATCTTGAGGAACGGACAGACGGGGCTTCAGATCTCTCGAACTCTCCCTCTTTATGCTGAAGAACTTCGCGGAGATCAGTTAGCCTCCTCTAAAATTCGTGCTCCCTTGCTCTCCAACTCGGCAGCACCTCCTCCTCTTGATAATAAATCCGCCCCTGTGAAATGAGCCCCTAGGCCTGTATTTATAGGCTTCGGTTGGGGGTTTTGGATAAGAATGAGTGATTTGGCATTATCTTCAGTCAATAACGGCCTAACCACGTTTATGGATAATATCCAATCAGTTGGGAAGCTCTGGAACGAAAAAATCCCGAGAAAATATCAAAAAACATGTTTTCGGGCAGTTAGCACGCGAAACAGGTCATGCTGACCCGCAGGGGTGCGGGTCAGCCGAGTCTGACCCGCGCTGGCACGGGTCGGCCAGCTCCGACGCGCGCGTGGGTCGGCAGCTCCGACCCGCGCTGGCGTGGGTCGGCCAGAGCGCGGTCCTGCAACGCCGACCCACGCGGGCGCGGGTCGGCCACGCCGTCCCACACTGGCGCGGGTCGGCCACGCTAAGCTGAACTTCTTTTTTTCTTTTTGGCACTTTGCGACTTTTCAGAACTTGTATTTTCTGTCGTTTTGCGTATTTGATCATCTTGTTAACTTGCACGCGTCGTTAACTTGCTTCATGCGTTCGTTAGCTTCTTTACGACACTTGAAACTGACCGACATGCGCGTCGGGCACTTTGGATCTAACCGACAAGCGCGTCGGACACTTTAGAACTGACTGATAAGCGCGTCGGGCACTTTGGATATGACTGACAAGCACGTCGGGCACTTTGGATCTGACCGACAAGCGCGTCGGGCACTTTGGATCTGATTGACAC